TGGGCGAGCCGAGAGCTTTGCCCATTAAGCTGCAGCAAGAAGCCAAATCAAAAAGCCAATCTCCAAGCCTCCTAACCGAACGTCACCCTATCAGCTGGGAGAGAGAGAGCTGCACCGAATGACAAGCCGCGCATATTTATCCTCGCGCGCCGATGGGGATAAATTTCAGAGAGCTTCCCGACCAGCAGCGGGGAAGGAGAGCCTGCATCTCGCGTCCACAGAGCCCCTAGGACCTAATGCAGACGGAACCCCTAGCTCGCGGCCACCCACCCAATCGTTGAAGCCTCGCGCCCGGCGCCTCCCCGCCAGCGGCAGTTCCAAGACGGCGGCGCGTCCTGACCTGGATTCCGCGGAGTCCAGGGCTCCGGGCAGCGGCGGGGAGGGCAGGCAGGCGGGCGCGCAGCACCGGCTTTCCCCTTGTCCTCAGGAGACGCTGCCTGCAATTCCGAAATTAAGTCTCCACCAAACACATCTGTGGCTTTTAAATATAGCAGGGGACAATTACCCAGGCAGGGTCCACCCAGGCCTAGGGGAGGAGTTGAGGGGGTTGAAGGTTGGTAGTGGAGGGAAAATAAAACTCCTTTTTTCCCCTCTTTTTTTTTTTTTCCTTCTGTTCTTGGTGCAGAACTCAGTCTGTCATTTTCTCAACCCAAATCAAACAACAGCTTGTGACAGACGCTTGGGTGAGCGCTGGTATGTTGGCTTTTGGGTTTTTAAGGCTAAAAATAAGAGGGGGCTGTCTACCAAATTGCTGCTTACTCTGGGCTTGGAGTCTGGAGGAGAGATAGTCCTTTGATGCAGCAGCAGAACTAGGGTTTGGGGCTTGGCTCATGCAAAGTGTACACACGTAGCCTTAAATCAGATGCCTGTAATTTCTGCTATATTTGTCAGGCTTGGTCCTGGAGGCCGGAGGGGTGGGCAGGCCTCTCTCCTAAGAATGGGGTTTTACATCCCTAGTTTACGTACGAATGGTATTAGGCAGATCTAAAAGCAGCATGCTGGCTGGCCTTTTGTAGAGACACCAGTGCAGATTCTCCGACGGAACTTAAAGGTAGGAAGTTGTTTCTCTCAGGCCTCTGCTGCCTGAAGCCAAGTCTGATGGGCCAACAAGTGAAAATAAAACTGTGCGTATCAGCACCTCCTTAGGGCTAGGCTCCCTGCTTATTAATTAGATTGCCTTATTTCATGTCATCCTCACGAAACTCTGTGAGATAGGTACAATTACTAACTCCATTTTTCTGTTGAGGAAATTGAGCCCTAGGTTAAATAACCATGCCAAGGCCACAAGCAGCAGAACCAAGGCTTGGAATAAGGTGGAATCAACTGGAGTTTCCCTGATAACTACAACAGTGTGTCCAACTTCCCGGATCCCTGGCTCCCCTGAGGACTGCTCTGGAGCAAGGCTTGTTCCAAAGAGATTAAGTGGACCAGAGTCAGAGAGTGTCTGAGCTTGGGATGGCGTGTGAGTTTTTTCCTGCTCCCTTGACCGATGCTCCTTCAGCAAATCACGTAGTGGTTTCCATCCTGAGGTTGAGTCCTGAATGTCCTCAGTCCTAACTCAGATCTCAGATCCCTGAACATTGATAGGCTTTGAATCCAGTTAAAGTGAGGACCAAGACACTGATGCTGTAAGACTTGAATAACCTCTAACATTGTATGATTTCAGCATGTGTCAATTGGTGGGATTTACCTTGCGCCTGTTAGTTTTGAAAGATACATTAAGTTCCTTAAAAAACTGTGAACCTCTTTTGCTGGAGTAGTTTTACTGGCAGCAGTTTATTCTGTGGTGAGAATTAAGGGTGTGCTCACATATTCAGTTACAAGGATATTCATGGTAGTGTTTATAAGAATGAAAAATTGGAAGCATCTTAATTTTCCAACAGAGAGAATTGGTCAGGTAGATCATGTTACATCGTCATAATGGTGTATTCTACCACTATAAAAATTCTGAAGCAGTATTCTATGCATGGACATGGAAAGGTTTGCATGATATGTCATTGAGTGAGAGAAAATAAATCACAAAAAATCATGTGATGATTATCTTCCAGTGATGAGATTACTGGTGGTTTCTCGCTTTAAATCAACGTTATGAGACATAATTACATACAGTAAAAAGCACCTGTTCTAACTATACGGGTAGATCTGTTTTGATAAAGTACACGCAAGTAAAACAACAACCCAAATCAAGGTACAGAACATTTTCATCTCTCCCAAAAGTTCTTGGGCCCCTCTGCAGTTATCCCCACCACCCACCCCCACGCAACCATTGATCTGCTTCCCATCACTATAGACTAGTTTTGCTTGTTCTAGAATTTTCCTCTTTTTGCCTATTTATGTCTGTTGACATTTCTTCAATGACAATGAACATTACCCATTCACTAAAACAATGAATAGCAATAATAAAACAGAATTGGTCTTGTCATTTTTTTAGAACTATCCAAAAACCAACAGGAGCCCCATCCTCTTCTCACCTGGAGCAGGGCATTGCTGAGTGGGCAGGAGGCAGGAGAGGGAGGTGACAAAGCATGTTCAACCCCTGCTATATGCAGAGTGACCCGTGTGGGTTCTCTGAGTTCTAGGTCGGCTGAAACAACAAGACCCAACTTTTCATTCTGAGCCTCCATGGCCTTACCATGAAAATGGACATAATATTAACTAATAACAGTAATATCCTCTTCATGGCATTGTTGTGAGGATTCAGTAAGATTACAGTTTCCAGTGTAGAGAGATTCCCAAATATATGTTAATTCTCCCTCTTTCTTCCCCCACCCTCTGCTCCTCTCTCGCTGTGAGTTCTACAATCAACTTTTAACACTAGACGGAGTCTCACTTTTTTCTTCCTCTCTACTACATGCATCCTGGGCTGGAAAACAGTAAATCTGATGACAGTCTGCCTTTAATTTCTGCCATTGTTTATCCTTTATTTCTGGTTGTGCTAGAACTCAAGGGGATTTTCACAGGAAGAACAACAAGTGGGCCATGGGTTGTCAGGATCAGGAGCAAGAGCCACGAACTTGATTTTCAAGTTGGGAGGAAAGTGAGGCTCAAAGAAGTGAAGGGATTCAACCTAATCACAGAGCTCAGCAAGGAAGAGGTAGAATCTGCTATGGGCTCAACTGTGTTTCACGGTCCTTAAATGCACACGTTGAGGTGGTGACCTCTAGGACCTCACACTGTGACAGCAAAAGGATAATTCAGTTAGAAGGGGGTCATTAGGGTGAGCCCTAATGGAACGACTGTGTCCTGATAAGAAGAGGACAAACAGACAGACAGAGGGCAGACTACGGGAAGGCACAGCAGGAAGGCTACTGTCTGCAAGCCCAGGAGAGAGGCCTCAGAAGAAACCAAACCTGCTAACTAGACTTGGACTGCTAGCCTCCAGTCAGCAAGAATATAAATTTCTTTTGTTTAAGCCACTCAGCCCGTGGTGGTTTGTTACAGCAGCCCAAGCACACTAACACAGAATCCAAGTGCTCTGGCTATTGCTATGAGTCCTGCTTGTATTCCAGGAGTTACCTGGGGTGATTTGGAACTTTGAAACATCCTGGATTTTACAACTGAACAAAAAGGAAGCAAGGAAACCAGCTTTTATCAAATACCTGCACTATGACAGTGTGCTGTGCACTTTTGTATGTTGTATTTCACTCCATAAATATTTGTGGAACACTTTCTGTGTACCAGATACTATTCTAAGTGCTGGGCACACAACTGTGAACAATGAAGATAAAAATTCCTGCCCTTACGGAACCTGCATTCTAAAGGAAGAGACAGATGATAAAGGAAAAAAGGGCATGTCGGATGGTAGGTGCTATGGGAAAAAAACACAGCAAGGGAGGAGGATAAGGGGCCTAGGAACTGCTGAAGGAGCGGGGCGGAATGGTGAGAACTTCTAATTGAAGAGAATCTGAGAGTTTGTCCCGGAA